TATAATCACTTTTCCATTACATACAAAACTTAACTATTTTAATAGCTGAAACAGTAGTAGGCTATAAGCTTTTTTTGGGAAAAGGGGAAAAAAGACGGGCTAAATTTGAGACCCGTGCAGGGCTTTAATCCACTTCATCCAACGCTGGCATAAATCTGTGAGCGTGCTCTTGATTTATGTATTTTAGGTGTGTAAATATATATAATTGCCGTTTCATTATTTTTTTCAGTTTTATTTAAATTTGTAGTTAAAACAACTAAAAATAAATGTATTTTAAAGTTTAGAATTAGACAGCACACAGGCTTACGCTGAAAACAACAAAATGGAACCTCAAGATTGATCTAGGAAAATGTGTGCAAATGTATAGGGCCCCAATCCTATATTTTGCCTGGGGCCCCCAATTCACTAAATCCGCCCCTGCGTCAAACCATGATGCAGTGCATCTTGATGCGGCAAGGAGGGGTAGATTGTAGATTGGCAAGTAGATTGGGTCCAGAAACATTTGACTATTTTTGAAAGAAATTAAAGATTTTTTCATCAAGGATGCATTAAACTGAACAAAAGTTACAGTAAAGACATTTATAATGTTACAATAAATGCTGTTCTTTTGAACTTTCTATTCATCAAAGAATCCCAAAAAAATGTATTGCTGTTTCCAAAAAGTATTAAGCTGCACTACATAATGTTAATAATAATACTAATAATAATAATACATGCTTCTTGAGCACCAAATTAGCATATTAGAATGATTTTTGAAGTATCATGTGACACTGACAACTGGAGTAATGGCTTTGCCATTACAGAAATAAAATACATTGTAAAGTATATTAAAATAGAAAATAGTTATGTAAAATTGCAATAATATTTCACAGTATTACTGTGATTTTTTAGATTTTTGATATAATGAATGCAGCATTAGTTATTTCTTTCGAAAACCTGAAAAAATCTTACTTTTTTTAGAATGTTTGCCTCATTTATGGGTGAACTATTCACATTTAATTTAATGAAACTGGTTTGAAATCTGAAATAGTATGTTTATGTCCTTTGCTTACTCCAGAACAGAAAAAAGAGGAAAGCAGGAAGAAAATAGACAAGTGTGACTACCCTCGGTTGGGCGTCAGGCGTGCAGGAGAATTTGTGAAAGAGATGAAGAGATGAAGAACTTCACAGCAGAGAAAGGTGTGAACTGGGTTTCTACAGAAATGAAAAAAAAAAAACGTCAAGATGTTGCTGACGTTGAAGCATAGAAAGGATTAGACAGTAAGCAGAATTACATTTTGAAAAAAATTGATTGTTACCTCAGTTCAGATATGATGAAATACAATACTGTATGTTATATATCTTTATTATTATCTCCAAGTACATATTCAAGTTTTCAAAGTTCATATATTTAGTTTCATAGAATATAAATCTAGCAAAACATTTACAGCAACAGTAATCAAATACTGTACAACACAACATTTGTCCTCACTAGTTTCCATCAACAGTATAAACGCTACTTTTTGTTTCACATACAAAAACAAAAAATACATCCATACACTTAAAACAGATGTGTTCATTGGTAATAACACAAAAGGCTGTCCATGTTGGAGCACCTCCCAAGTACAATCTAAAATTCAAATACATCTGGTATACATGAAACTGCTCAATAAACCTCTAAATTACATCATACATGTAGACTGAAACTCATTGACTTTTCTAATGTCTCTATTCAGACTCTAGTTGAAGCAATATGTTTTATGTTAGAGATTCAGTTGGTGTCTTAAAAGAATAGTTCATCCAAAAATTTAGTTGTCCTTTTTGGAGATTGGCTTTCCTTACTGTATGCCTTCATTATATGTAAAAGGGCAGCTTGAACATTCTTCAGAACGTCTCCTTTTATGTTCCACAGAGTAAAAAAAGTCATAGATGTTTGGAATGACTTGATTGTGAGTAAACGATGATCGAGGTCCATTTGTGGGTGAACTATTCCTTTTAAAGTCTAAACTGATATAATGCCAAACACTATGCCAATTTAATTCGTGCTTCTCTCAACCAAATTAAGTTTTATCCCATGGAAAATGTCGAATTACACATAATCATGTATCTAAACAAAACACACAATACTCAAGGCCTGATGTGCACAATTATTTATTACTGAACAGAGTGAAACCTTTAAACAGGAACTTGAGTCGACATTATTGTTTTTTTTCTAACTTGGTTTCGATAAAGCCACAACCACAACATAGAGATTTTCAGGTCGGTTTGGCACACCTTGATGTATATTTGTCTATTTGTATACTTACAAAGCAGCACAACAGAATATTGGATATTACAGTGTACTTGTAAAAACGGTTATCCTACACTGTTCCATGGACAAGACCAATGCAATGACTTTTGTACACTAGGCTACAAGGAAGACAAATTAAACTGATAATAAAAAATAACATTTAAAATGTAAACGTTTAAGCAAATAATTACAATTTTGGTAACACTTAGTATAGGGAGCAATTCTCACTATTAACTAGTTGCTTATTAGCATGCCTATTATTAACATATTGTCTGTTTATTAGTACTTACAAAGCACATATTCTACATGACCATATTCTACATCCCTAATCCTACCCAATATCTAAACTTAACAACTACCTTACTAACTATTAATGAGTAGTTTATTGAGGCAAAAGCCGTAGTTAATGGTTTGTTCATAGCGAAAATTGGACCTTAAAATAAAGTGTGACCAAAATTTTAAAAGAAATTTGTCTTAACCACACAGTAATGATGTAAACTGTCAAAACATAAGTAAATATTGTGAAATATTTTATAAGGCCACACTACACTATCACAGAGAACTGCAGAAAGCTACATATGACATTTTGTGTCAATAATCTTTAATCCTACAAACATGAAGGTTCAAATGACAAAATAAACTACTGTACTTCAAAAACTAGACAGTGATCGCATATTACAAACAAGCAATGTGATTTGCTACACATTTTCAAAGCCTTAAAGATTTTAATGAGTAGGCCGGAGGGACATGAAAATTACGTTTATTCACTTGTGTTTGATTTTTGTTCATATTAGGGAGTTACTTCAAATCACTTAAAGCAGTTGGTTGGGATTACTTGTAGACTACTAATAAAAAATTTAGACACACTTGAATGCCAAAAGCGTGCAAAGCTGTAATGTCGGCAATGGGTTGCTATTTGAAATATATCGAAAAATTGATTTGTTAAATATTTTTGATCTCTACATAATTCCATTAATGATACTTTATATTTTAATGACTTCACTGTGAAAAATACTATTAAACGATGAGTAGGTGCGTCCAGACCTTTGACTGGTACACTCTAAAAAATGCTGGGTTGTTTCAACCCAACTTTGGGTCAAATATGGACTAACCCAACTGTTGGGTTAAATTTTTACATTACATTTTTAACCCAAAAGTTGGGTTAGTCCAAATTTGACCCAAAGTTGGGTTGAAATAACCCAGCATTTTTGAGAGTGTAGTGTAGCTTATATTTTTCTTTGCGTGCATAAGTGTTATTTTCAAATATAAAATTTGCATTGAGTTCGCACTTAGACATGACATTAAGAAAAAAATAATATCCCTCTGCATACATATTATTGAATTTACAGCTAGCATCTCATTTTACATAAATAAGCAGAGGATATTCATCCGACAGTGGAGAAAAGAGCCAGTAGATCTGCATGTACTGTGACGCAAAAACATACTGACGATATTATAAAAGCTGACTTGGCACTGCGTGTTTGTTTGTGTGTGCTCTACAACCCTGTTCTTGAGAGGCTCAACCTGACCGATACAGTGGGCGGACCTGACATCAGGGTTGAATGAGGCTCAATCGATACCTTCTCATTCCTGTTTACCACCCTAGAGGTTTCAAATTAGTTATTCGACATCTGATGCGTCGTTGTCCGATAGATGGTAGTTTGACCCTTTCACCCGGATGTATTCCACCTGCCGATCCTCATCAGAATCCGAGATCCCGCATGAGCAAAGCTGGTTTTCAAACAAGGACTCAATCTCTTCTAGCCGCCGTCCCTTAGTCTCGGGCAGGCAGCCATAAATGAAAAAGAAACCAGTTAGAGCCAAACTGGAATACAGAAAAAATACACCTGGGAAATGACAAAGAGATTTTGGTTAATAAATGGGCATAATTTTAATAATTGCTAAAAAATAACAAAACTATACAAGACTCAAATATATGATTTTTTTTTCTGCTCGCCTAGTCAGAATTGTAGTAGCTCTGCCAACATTATCAATGGCCTCAACATAAAACTAACATTATCCAATGGCGTGAATGGCCTAGATGATGTCAGCAAAAAAAAGTTGTAAAAGTTGGTTTAAGTGCAAAGCAAGTTATTATTTTTCAGTAAAGTGAGCTGTGAACAGCAAATTCAGGAAAGTGTATTTAGAATATTAATTTGCACAGGGAGTTGTTGACTTCCAGAGGAAAGTAATACTGAGTCATAGACATAATTAGTTCTACAATGCCTTTATGCGCAGTACACTCTTGATGTTGAGAGATCAAATACCATATTGATGCTGACAAAAAGGTCATGTTCATGACTGCTGTCACTCCCCTAATTAGTGCATTACCGTAGTAAGTCAGGTACTGGGCCATGTGAAGGAACGTTAGAGACACCAGCACATTGAAGGTCCAGTTCACTCCAGCCGAACAAGCATTGCCTGTGCTTCTGGCCCAAAGAGGGTAGATTTCAGAATTAACTGTCCATGGCATCGGTCCCATTCCTGTCAAGAGGTGAAAGTGTTTTAAATTACCGCAATGCAATGTCACCATGAATATATTACAGGTACAATTCCCAACCTCTGGTTACGTCTTGCTGAGTGCCACAATGGTGATGGATTGCACTGCTATGATATTTTTTTATTAATTACAAACAGTTATGATCATCTTACCTGGGGCAAAAAATGCGAGATAGAGCACCAGTCCCAGGAGCACAACCCATGAATAAGATGTTGGGCAAAAATTATAAGCCCATATACCACTATCTGGCATATGTGTGGAGTTGGAGCACCTGTTAGAGTTGAAACAAACACACAATGAATTTAATAAAGGTGAATGAATAAATATCAAAATGTTTAATAAATATTACAATTGTTTGAAATGTTTTTTTTTTTTTTTATTAAATTAAAAAGCATCACTGGATTAATTATATCTAATATCATACAGTAATGCCACAATTAAAGGGATAGTTCACCCCAAAATTAAAATTTTGTCATCAATTACTCACCCTCATGTTGTTCCAAACCTGTAAGACCTTTGTTCATCTTCGGAACACAACTAAATATATTTTTGATGGAATCTGAGAGCTCTCTGACCCTCCCATATACAGCAAGGGTCCTTACACGATCAAGGCCCAGAAACATAGCAAGGACATCGGTAAAATAATCCATGTGACATCAGTGGTTCAAGCGCAATTTTACAAAGCTACGAGAATACTTTTTGTGCGCAAAAGAAAAAAAAAACGACTTTATTCGACAATTCGTCTCGTCCGCGTCACCTTAGCAAAGGACATCGGTAAAATAATCCATGTGACATCAGTGGTTCAACCGCAATTTTACAAAGGTACGAGAATATTTTTTGTGCGCAAAAGAAAAAAAAAACGACTTTATTCGACAATTCGTCTCGTCCGCGTCACCTTAGCGCCATTTTGGAGAGTATCCACTGAGCGTAAATTGTGTATGCTGTTTTGTGTCAGCTGAGCCACGCGGATACGCTGTTTACGTCATTTATGCTTTGATTTGAATGAAAACAACGTATCCGCGTGCCGCAGCTGACACAAAACAGCATACACAATTTACGCTCAGTGGATACTCTCCAAAAACACGGAGGAGACGAATTGTTGAATAAATTGTTTTTTTTTCTATCGCGCACAAAAAGTATTCTCGTAGCTATTATTTTACCGATCTCCTTGTTACGTTTCTGGACCTTGATCGTGTAAGGACCCTTGCTGTCTATGGGAGGATCAAAGAGCTCTTAGATTCCTTCAAAAATATCTTAATTTGTGTTCCGAAGATGAACGGAGGTCTTACGGGTTTGGAACGACATGACGGTGAGTAAATAATGACCGAATTTTCATTTTTGGGTGAACTATCCCTTTAACAAACTAAAATGTGTTAGAAAATGTGTTATAAATATAAAATACAAGTAGGGAAACATCACTTTTTGAAGGACATGACAACAAATTGTATTTGAGATTTTACATCTGGCGAGAGTATTGGATAACTTTGTAATGTACTGTAGAATGAATAAAAACACATAATATGCCCAAATATACACAGAACAGCTCAAGTGCTTGCGCATACAGAGGCTCTGTTTCAGTGCTGACTCACTTCCCCCACGCTGCTCTCTCAGTGGAGGCCGGATTGACGGGCACACAGGAGGAGGCAAACACAGCAGTGCTGTTTTCCTGATAACAGTAACCACAGCTTGGGTCCAACATACAGGGCTCGCATGACCTGAAACACAAAGTAATGAGAGCAAGACAAATTATTAAAAACTAAAACCCAACCAACTGACCTTGAATTCTTCTTATCTTAAAGGCAAAATATGTCATTTTCGCCGCTAGAGGGCGCGTATTCAAAATAAACAAAGAGGCAAAGGCGTAGTTTGATGACGCCGTGACTGAGTGTGGAGTCATGGGAGTTGTGGTCTTCATCCCCACAGCCGATACAATCCGACGGGACTCGGGCAGAAATCATGTTCATGGATGAGCTAATGATTTGTTAACATAGTAGAATGAAGCAGGGTGAGGCTGAAAGCCGTCAAAGCGAAACGATGCTGCTGAACGAGCGTGACACACGTACGGCTCGAAAGCAGCGGAGCTTTTATTATGCCACAGTCGACCGCTTCCGCTCCTTACGGTCGTGCATATGTGGGGGGGGAAAAGCAGGGCTGTTTTATCATATTAGATACATTTGAAAGTTCTGTTATTATACTGTGCGGTTGTCACCGGTTTAATAAAAGGCACAACATATTAAAGCGTCTTTGGTGTTTCCATGTTTTCTACAAAACAAAACCGGAAATCGAGGGGTTATGACGTCATTGGCAGGCGACACAATGACACTATAGACCCGTGTCCCTAGTTAAAATGGCTTATTTCTCTGGATTTAAACATTCTTCGAAACATTTGGGATAATGTAAGTACACAAGTCAGCAAAATATATAACACTGTTCTAGTTGTTTTTGGATATTTTAATAAAAAAAATCTTACATATTGTGCCTTTAAGTCAACATAAATCAAAATGGACTATATGCACTTAATACATATTTATAGAATTCCTTATATGCATGACTCATCATTGCACATTGTTCTAAACAAACAAACAAAAAAAAGTTAATTGCATTCATAATCTTTCATCAAAACAATAATAATTTGCTCCACACTTTGGAACAACTTTCATTTTCGTCAAACCACCTGTCATATTTTCACAATTCAATCAACTGATGCATAGCATTGCAGTATGTCCCACTGTGCAATTTTTCTTGTTAAAAATCATGTTTCACTCAGAAATACAAATAAGAAACTTATGGAAATAAAATCTAATTAAATCTATTATCTTTGATCTAGTGAAATCTACAGATATTTATTATACTTTTTGAAAGACTTTTCTTATGTTTACCATGGATGCATTTGATCAAAAATACATTTAAAATGCTGTGAAATACACTGCTTAAAATTTTTTTTATTTATTTTATTTATATACATTGTGTAAATCGTTGATAATGGTCTGTGGAAGCCAAAATCATCAACTCATTGAGGGATGGATTTCAAAAAAATGTAAATAAAATTAGGCTGATCCATGCATATATTTCAATAAAGCAACTCATAATATAAGTCAAAAGTGTGTATGGCCCCCACGTGCATTTAACCTGTTAACCTGCAACCCCCCCCACCCATTTTGGGACCCCCATTTTGGGAATCACAGCTGAAAATGACCTACCTAACTTAAAGGGGTCCTATTATGCTCTTTTACAATGTCTTGAATTTGTTTTGGGGGTGTACTAGAACATGCTCTCATGCTTGGTGGTTTGAAAAACACATTATTATTTACAGTATTGCAATAACTTTCTCCCCATCCTGGCACAAATGGCTCGATTAGTTCCGGGTTTGATGAAGGCCCGCCTTCCGAAAAACGAAATGTGATGTGATTGGTTAGCTGTCCCATTGCGTTGGGATTGGCGAACAGCTTAGACGGTGTTTCACTACTGCCCCACCCCTTGCCAAAGCAGCAAGTTCCGTCTACTCTGTTTAGTTAAGGATGGCGTCAATACTGCCATATCAATTTGAGCCGGATTCAGACCCAGAGAATATTGAACAAGAGGATCGCGCAGAACCTTTGCACGCACGGATATTGCAAGACATATTAGAGTGGTAACGTTATTGTTTTTGTTGTTGTGTTTTTTGTCTAAATCACGTTTTAGATAGGATGTCAACAACCGCTTAAAATAACTGTATTTACTATGTATAGATAAGTGCATATGTATTATTTTTTATTGTTATTTAATTCTAACATTATAACATGAATTGCAGTGAAACTGTTATACAGTTGAATTTATTTATACCATA